ACAAATTGGAGAAGAAAGGGTTTATTTGGCTTATGCTTCAACCTCCATCATTGGTGGGAGTCAGGACAGGAACTCAAACAGAGCAGGAACCTGAAGGTAGGAACTTAGGCAGAGGCCGTGGAGGGGTGTTGCCTTCTGGCTTGCTTGACATGGCTTTCTCAGTCTGCTCTTTTATAGAATCCAGGGTGACTGGCCCACGGATGACACCACCCATCGTGGACTGGGCCTTCCCCCATCAATCACTATTAAAGTAAATGTCCTATAGGCTCTCCTGCAGCCAGATTTTATAGAGACATTTTCTCAACCGAGGTTTCCTCTTCTTAGATGACTCTAGCTTGTGTCAAGTTGACATAAAAACGATCCAGCACAATGCATGTGAAAGAAAACCACTTTGATTTTACCTAGCAAACACTGTGTCACCTCTACCCCGCTAGTCCTCTAGTCTGTCAACTTAATTCCAAATTCCTAACATTATTGATTTCTTTGGTGTTTTGAGACAATGTCTTTTTATATAGCCCCAGCTGGCCTGGAACTTGCTTTGTAGACCAGGCTGGCCTTGAACTCATAAAGACCTATCTGTCTCTACCTATGAAGTGCTGGGAATGAAGGTGTATGCCACTGTGCCTAGCCCCAGAATTAAGTTTTTAATTAAGTTTGCAAGATGATTCTAAACTTCTCATCAAGAAAAATATCTAAGAACTATTAAACACAACTCTGAAAAATATTTTGGATATAAAGCAAAATATATAAAATTCATTAAAATATTGAAAGTATCAGTCTTTGAATGTCTATGGGAGAGACTTCAGAAGATGACGAAGATACTTCAAATCCTAAAAGGAATCATGGCTTCTGAGTAAACAATAGTACAGTTTTTGTCCATTTGGAAACAAAGTTAGGTCTTATTCCAAGCACAAAAATAATTTCCAGATGGAGTGAAGAGTTAATACACTAAATACAATTGTGTATGTTTTTAAAGTACCAAAGGGTTGCCTCATACACTGGGTTAAAGAATACCTAGCCCCCATGCTAGGAAGTGCAGTTGTCTGGTAAGTACATGAAAGAGGGCTTATTTTTAAGAGTCAAGGAAATATGAATAAAACCAGTTCCCCTTTGCCACATACCGCTGCCCCTCCCCCATCTGGCCCAAGTGTTGGCAAGGGTGAGGGAGCATGCATTTTCACCGAATGGATTATAATGGTCTTCTTGGCAGTACCAACTCTAGTTTTAAGTATGATATTCTTCCATTGCGTGATTTCATTTCCAGATGTTTATTGCAGAGAAACACACAGGGAGGCGAGCCCCAGGAGACATTTACTGCATATGCCATTGTTATAGCAGAAGCTATTCCACAGTGTAAGTCCATCATGGAAGAGTTTTTGGCTTCAAGTAAACGGTTTGGTGAAACTTGAAGGGGAGGGGGAGCAACTTAGTTGAACCAGTGTAATTTAGAGATTTGGGAGTTTGTAAGAAGGGCTATGGTAGAATTAATTAGTAATTAGATCCTGACATGGGGTTGCTACCCGCCTCAATGGTTTATGTTACTGAACGAAGACACACACACAGCCTTTATATTTTAATATGCCTTAAACAGCACAATAGCTGGGCCACTGCCTAACCTCCATGCTGTTAATAGACCTCCTGCCGATAATTGTGAGTTACTACTTACTAAATTCTGTGTTCTACCATGGCTGCGATGGACCCAGTTGGGCCCTCTGGGCAGCCTTCTCCTGGCTCCTCCACATGGCGGCTATGCCTCTCCACCACACACTGGCATGGTACATTTCCTCCTTCATCTCCTCTAGGTCCCAAGCCCGGGAAATCCTAAAATCCCGCCTCCGTCTGGCCTCCCCAGCTATTATTGGCTGTTGGCATCTTTATTTACCAATCAGAACTAACTGGGGGTGGGTTCCCAGAAGCTACATGCAGACACTCTCATGCAAGCAGCTTTTTGGGGAATATAATTAGCATTTGTAATACAAGCAGCCACAGACTATGTTTTCCAAGTGTGTAATTTTATTCATATCATAATCTATTTATAGAGTTTACCTAATACACTTAAGCACCTGGTGGTCACTGTCTGAGAGAAGCTGCGATTGAACAGAAGCCCTAGGATATACAGAGTGAACTGGGGATTTCTTTCACTGCCCAATCATACCTGCCCACGATAGGACCACAGAAAGAGAAGCCCTGATCCTGTGCTGGCGCTATCCAGAGAGGCTGTTGTCAAGACCAGCGTGGATTACTGCCTGCTGACTAGCGTTTCTTGTCTTTGTAAACAGTTACTTAATATATAACATAATAAGAAGCCTGAATCCGGGGCCTTACTTATGCTATGCATGCATCTTAGGAGGGAGAGAAGGTAGACTAACATATTTATATAGATGTCAGTGCTTAAAATACAAGCCAGAGAAATATTTTCTTTCTGTCTGTGCTCCTGTGTAAGAGATCGAGTCAGTGGTCCTGTGTGATGGAGTCAAATAACCTGAGGAGGGCAATTTAGCAGCTTTAATCTACGAATTTATGATTTGAGGGTTAAAAAAAATAAAAGCTTTGTCTGTTTAATTTTATGGAGTTCCTATTCTAGATACTTACGAGAGTACTGGTTTTGTGTGTGTGTGTGTGTGTGTGTATCACTTTTTTCTTTTTAATAACTTTTTATTGATGCTTTATGATTTTTCACATCATGTATCCCCTCCCACTCATCTCTCTGTCCTTCCATATCTGCCCTTTTCCCTTGCAACCTCCCCACTAAAGAAAACAAAAAAATAAAAATAAAAACAACAAAAAAGAAAAAATAACATAAAAATGAATCTTGCTGTGGACGCTGGGGTGTGTCATGGTGTGTCCCACAGTGTACCCTTTTATCCACTCATCTTGACTTGCAATTGTGCATTACAATGCATCGTTGATATGGTTAGAGACCTCTGGCTTCTGCTACAGTATCAATACTGGGCCCTCACACTGGGACTTCTCTCAGATATTCTGTTGTTGTCATGGAAATCCTGCAGCTTTGGATCTGTAGGATCCTTTCATGCACTGTAGCAGTTCATAGACGTTAGGGTGGACTAACTCAAAGCCCTGGAAATGGGCCTGGGTGGTGGCTGAGTTGTTCAGCCCACCAGCTTTCCCTTGCACAAGCCATTGGGGCCTGCTCCTCTGCTTTGCCCAGGTGAGGGGCAGGACTACCTTTCCTGCTTTGCCCAGGTGAGGGGCAGGGCCACCTCTTCTGCTTTGCCCAGGCGAGGGTCAGGGCCACCTCTCCTGCTTTGCCCAGGTGAGGGGCAGGGCCACCTCTCCTGCTTTGTCCAGGTGAGGGG